GTAGATTTCTAGACAGGATATGTGAGGGGAAAAATAGTAAAATGTATTTGTTTGAACAAACCTAAGCAAAAATGTCTTATTTTTCATAATTTTGTGAGCTTTCTCCGAGGCATTTGTATCAGTCATTGATTTACTAACTGCAGAAGGAAATCCCAAATGGATGAAGCCTGTTTGAATAGTTTTTAAACATTATAATAATTAGTAATTATTTTACACTTGGAAGTACACTTTAATATTTCATATACTATCATTGTTTAATCCGTGCCATTTTTGTGTTTTACAAAATGTGATTGCTATAGTACATTTGTATTGTAATCAGCCGGCATTAACCTATAGTAGTAATTAAATCCTACAAATTTAAAGATATGAACCCTGATACTAAAAAAAAAACAACCCCCCCAAAAAACCAAACCAAGCACATAAAAAAACCAAACAACACAAAAACACAACACAAAAACCACCTGTCATCTGAAAATAGTAGACTTACACTTATTTTGCATGTCTGTAATTGACCACACCAGGCAGGAGGCATGGAGAATTAAAATAATGTTAAATAATTCTGTTATGCTATACTGACTGTTTTGAATTTTTCCAACACCCATACCTGCCTCCTGGTCTCTTAATTTCTTTTTTATTTTCTCTCCTTCAGTGCGAAGGGTAGAATGCCAATAGCCTTACAGTTCAGGAATTTAAGTTAAAGGGAATGTAGTATGATACTGTCCTGATCACCTAGCTTTGCTTAACGGACTTGTAAAAGTACAATGCTGTAAGATACAAAGGTGCTTGAGATTGCAACAACAGTGTAATTTCATTAGCCTCGCTGAAGGTTATTATTTATGATTTTTGCATGGGTAAAGACAGATTAGAATCAGATTTCTATGGTTCCTTAGCATGACTCCAGATCCTTTTAGAATAGCAATGATAATAAATAAAAAGAAATCCATATAAGAAAATTATATAAGTAGCTATGTAGTTTAAGAAAAGTATAATGCCTGTAGGAATACTAGGTACATTTAAAGCACAGTGTTAACAACAGCAAGCAGTGCCTTTTCAAGCTTGAAGATCCACATTCAATAAATAGCTTCTTCCACCCATGTGCTATACTACACGAAATCCTTACCTATAGCATGGCATCACCAAAATGACAATTTCAACTCTTGGTGGTTGGTTGTTTGGTGCTAAAAATTATTCTGATCCCTCACCCCCATGACACACATGCAGAAGGGTATAGATTTTTTTCAGCACTTCCTTCATAAAATGCCACATTGCAGTAACTGCTGCTATAGGATAAATGCATGATACCTTACCAGAGCTACTAAGTGGACCTCATTTATGTTTGACCCAGTCTGATTAAATAAACACGCAACAACATCTGCAGGATTTCAGTAATTACAGAGGTAGCTGTACAGAGGAACAGTGGATTCTCAGCACTGTTTATGTTTAAGTATCGTAGTTTTCATCTGTTGAATTTCATGGATTAAAAAAAAAAAGAAACAAATCTGCTTGAAATTAAAAACAGATTAATTGGTATCTTTGTTTTTATCATAAATGCACATATATGCTCTATATTTCATTAAAAATTAATCTGTTTTCAAAAAATTCCATCTGATACATTTTTTTTTTCCTGGCATGCCCATGTGATCATTCGAAAGGGAAAGAGTACTTCAGGTTCATATTCACCTCATGCTTCAGTTTTAACATTAAACCCAGCCAACATGACAGAACTGCCTGCTCTTTCCAGTTCCACCGGTTGAGCTCCTCACAGGCAACGTTTGTCTGGCTGTGGCACTGTGCTTCAGCGGCACGGCGGAAGGCAAACCGGAGCCTTTGCAGAAGCAGGAAGCAAACCGCGCTGTTCCTGAGCGCTGCCAGCGGCGCTGAGCTCCCGCGTTTCACACGCGCTGTCCCTTCCTTTGTTCTGCTGCCGTGCCCTGCCGCGCTGACAGCCCCGGGATTAACATGTCCTGGGTGCAGTTTTCCGGATTTCCAGTAGATGCCCCCAGAGACCATTAAACCTCTTGAACGGCTCCACTTCAAATGAAAGGCCAGTCTTTTTTCATTTTCCTTCTTGAAGTAACATAATTATTCAAAGGAAGCCTAAAATCGGCGTGGGCGCCATGCAGAAAAACAAACTTACCTGCTTAATAATATATAATAATTTATTAGGTAGGAAGGCTTAAAAGGTTTAGCATAAACTGCTTCATTAATGTAGCAGAAACACACTGTTAATACTTGGATTTTGTAAAATAATGTACCTTTAATCAGATATTACTTTTTTATATTGATATTAAAAATAAAGTGATATTCGGTTACATTTAACATGAGATGCTCTATTTAGACTCACATTTTACATGCTGCATGACATCATAAAAACAGTATGAAAACAATTTTAAGGATTGATTTATAGTTTATCTCAAGATATCATGAAAAGTTTGCTTCTGTCACCTACACTACTCCCTCTGTTCAAAAGCACTGTTTGGTGGGAAAAAAGGGCACTGGAATTTTTATCTGTAACCACTTCAATAACTGAATAAATTTCAGAATTTGTTGCAGTGTCAGGCTCTCTTAGGTGTCAAATACCATTCATCCACATAATATCATTCATTTCTAGCCCTATTTTGTGGTTTGTGTGCGATCAGCCACTTGTGGCTGATATATTGTAGATGCTTAAGAAAACAATAGTATTATTTTGTGCTTTCTGTATTTTCTGGTTTTAAGAATAAAGAGATAACTTTATGACTGTAAAATTTGAATGGTTATACAATAGATAGCAGCTTCATTGCTTGTGAGCTAAAATCAGTTACCTTTGCCTCAGGAAAAAAACATGAGCTGTGCTGTATGATTACTGCGGCATTATTTCACTTTATTAATTAGGATAGGCTTTATTAAAAGAATATTGACACTAATTTTTAAAACTTACCTATTTTATTGTATGTTTTATTCTCCTGAACAGGTTTGCTAATAATGCTATCTTGTGGGGAAATTGTGCTTTGAGTCCAAGCAAACAGAATCACTCTATGGGAAATAATGTTACATGGACAAGTTTTTCCTGTTTATACAAATATAAGTACTATGCTCAGTGACTATGCAGCAAATGTTAAAAATTAACTGAATGACATTTTGTTTAGTTACTGTGAAGATCTTTTTGCAGTACTTTCTTTACTTCCAATACATCTAATGATCTAATGCATGCACACATGAAGATCACATTATAGGAATAAATATGCCTGTGTCTGCTCTGCAAGTTGTTATTCCACTGCTCTGAGTTGAATTACTGTAGGATTCAGTTCTAGGCCTTTGGAAGTTTATAGGAATTTTTACCCATATTCTTCAATTTATTTTTAGTTAGGATTTTAAAGCAGAAAGAACTCAGTGTAGACTAGAGAATATATTGTATGGTTTTAACATAATGTCTTTATTTTTAAGCTATATACTGTGCATCTAATCTATGACAAACATATGATATACTGGCAAATTAAAATGTACATTTTTTAAGATATTTATCATTTTCTTAACATTTACATTTACTTGTTGCAAATATTTTCTGGTACAAAGTTACGTCTCTTCTCATGTCTGTATGAACAATGCATGTTTTTCAATCTCAAAGAACACCTATTTATGTATTAAAGATACATTCAGTACTGTCTAGTCTAAATTATGTCAGGCTTTTGTAGTACTTTTGTGTTCAGTTTTGAAACTGAAATACAAAAAAACCCCATGAAGGATTAGCGTGCATCTATGGAGTAAGCAATAGATTTTATTTTAATCGTATTAAATATGAACTTATGCTGATTATTTACTTCTTACATCTTACATTACTTTTTATTTCATTCACATCTAGTTAAGAGGTTTCTTACATCACTTCCATCTTACTAGCATTGTTAAAGAACTGCAGTAGCTTTTTTTGGCTAGAAGTATTAGTCTCATTAGGCTATTGTTTAGCATGAGGTCATCTGAATTCATTACATACACTATAAATCCCAGTTTTCAGAATTCCGTATTTATTTGAAAGCTGCTGAGAATGTGGAGTTAGTGGATTTTAATGTAAAAAGATAGTCTTGAAAACAGTTTGGAGACTTAATGGAATATAAAAAATAGAACTAACACTTCTGGGTCCTTGCCATTTTACTGGGACAAAGGTTTGTTTCCTCCCACTAGGTTCCTACTCTTGTAAACCTTTACATCTGTACTTTAGTGTTACAGGCAGTCCCATTGGACTCATAGTTTTTCCAGGATGGGAGACAATGATAGTTTCATGCCAAATAGAAGAAATATTTTGATTATTTTCATAAATAATACACCAAAAGATATGTTACCTCTTGAGAATATTTGATTGCACAACTTTTTGATATGCGTATCTTATCAGAGTTTATGAATGAGATAACTTCGATATAAATTCATCATTGCACCATTTGATGTTAAAATTAGGGAGAAATTATCAAAATTTTACATCAGTAAACCAGTCCCAGATGAAGTTATATGCTAAACAGAAGCAAAATAATACCTAAAGATTATGTTTCTGGCATAGCATTTGTCTGACATTTTAAACCAACCCATCATGTCCTACAGGAAAACTATTTAACATATACATCGTTTTGACATGTGGAATGTGCCTCATTTCCCCCTGTGCACCGTTTTAAAGCAAAATAAAAGTTCATTGTGTTTTCATGAACTAATATAAACATGGGGAGGGGGGGTCTCCCATCAGTCAGCCTTTTTTACCAGTGTCAGCTAAAGAACACCAGTATGTTTTTAATATGTTTTCAATATATATATATTGGTATTTATTCATTATTGTCATATTTACTTCCCTATGGTATGACATTTGTAATAGTATTTTAGCAGAATGCTTTTTGAGAGGGGGATAAAAATACCCCTTCCCTGCTGCTGGACTGCAGAGGTCTCTTCTTGAAAGCTGTTTTAGTTATCTGTACTTATTTGGTAAGGCAGAGAACAGAATATGGGTTTAAAGGCTTAAAATCTATCTTTCTTATTCCCAGTAACAGGAATTCATACAAGAAGAACATCTGCATAGACATGCTGCGACAGGGTTATCACAAGTCCTTCTCCGAGCTCTTCACTCTGATAGAGAAGTGGAATGCCTTGAGGGAGGCTGCAGGGCCTGGGTCAGCCATATGGCAGCAGAAGTCCCTGGAGGAGCAGCCTGATAAGCTGGATCAGCTTTACCACTTCCTGACCAGGGCTGAGGCAGCCCAGCGAGCAGGTAAATGGGGGGATTGTGGGTAGCAGAGCAGCGGGAGCTGCAGCAGCAAATGCCTGGGGGAAGCTTCCAAATTGTTTCATGTATGAATTTGAAACGCTACTGCATCTTAGCACATTTCAGCCTTAGTCAACTAAGCTGTATTTATAGAATAAATGATTAGGAACTGCAGATATCAGGAGAGGTTTTGTGAAGGAAAAAAAAAAAAGGAAAACCATGTAGAGTGCATTATGATATCATCAGAAATGTTTGATGTATTTATAGCTTTGTTAAGATCTCAATTAATTTCTCATTGTTTTATTATTTATTGTTTTTCCTTCTCTATTGATTTGAGTAGCTGGGTTTGTATTAGAAAAACTTAATAGGTGAAATTCTGTTTCACACAGTAATAGTTTTATAAATCTGATTTTATTAAATACCCTGTCTGCTAACTGTGTTTGGATTTGTGACTGACTTAAAAAGGATTGTGAACATGTCAAATAAAATACAGCACACAGATGTAAAATGCCACCTGTGAATTACTAGATATTAGTGAAGACATAAGTTCAAATTACTGTATTTTCACTATTGCCTACTATTTACTAAGCAGCCATATCTATCATTTCCTTTTACTATAAATAGTAACATAACTTATTCTGTCTTTCTCCTTTGGAATAATTGTAAGAATGGAGGTGGATAAAGCTCTAACTGCAGTGCTGTTTGATGGCTGAGCTGATACCACTATAGTTGGCTTGTTTCAAGTTTTGATCATTATAAATATGAATATCTACAGTAAAATAATTAAAAAAGGGAACAGCAAAAAAACCCTTTCAGCACTTTAAAAAAGAAAAAAAACAAAACAAAACATTCATTTTAAATGTTTATTTTATGTTTACCATGAAAGCCAAAAGTTGTTTTTCAGTGTTAATTCACTGTAATTCTAGACAGGATGGCTAGCCATCCCATGACTGGAAGGAAGCTTCATTTGCATGAAATATGTCTAAAACCTGAATAGGCACCCCCGTACCTTGCAGGAGTAAAAGAGAAAAGTTCTGCACTCAGACTGCCCTGACAGAAGCATACTACTGCCAGCAGTTTGTTCAAAAAGTAGTACGTACGCCTTATCTTGATGGGCCTGCTTCTTGCAGCTGCTTAAGGAGGTAATTTTGCCTTCCTTCAGTGCTACAGTGTTACAGACTGATGTGTGACAACAGGGTTGGCAGACATGCTGCCGAAGTCTCAAGGCACTGTGGACCATGCAGTTTCTGCCCCTGTGAAAGGCAGGGGCCCTTTCCCTCACTGAATCCAGCAATTGTTGTTCCTGGGCTCTGTAAGTCTTTCACCTCTCACAGAAACAAAATACTACTGATTGTCTGACTGACTGTATCTTGGATCTAGGAAAGAGTATCTCCTAGCTTTACCTGTTAAAGTTGATTAAAATGAAATAAGATTAAATGAGAACAAATCTCCAAAGCTGGCAAGCATCTTTACTGAATTTTTAGATCAAGGTATATTTAGTTTTGATGTTTTTTCACCTGTTTCAGTGCAAACCTTTGCACAGATCTCTTGTTTGCATTAAGTGAGGCTCAAGTCACCTGACATGTGAAGTGGTATGTGCTAATTCATATTGCAGGTGTTAGAGCTAGTAGTGCTGTGAAGATAACATGAATTACACAGCTCATCAAATACTAATTCAGTAGTTCTGCTAATCCAGTTACTCTCTGACTCTAATCAAATTGCTTGGGGCTCTGGTTTATGATCTCCTGACAACTCTAGTTGACACTATTTAAGAAGCATTCAGCATTTCACCTCAGCTGGAACTTACCATGACGTAGCAGTCACAGCAGCAGATGACTTGTATTTGCTCTTCAGCTGGCATAGTTCAAGCAAGGATGAAAGTAAGGTTTGAGGGTGCAAACTATAAGAATTTCACAGTGTGTCTGCTATCACTAATATTAGGCTGAAAGTACCTTTCTCAGGCATGCTGTCCTGAGCTAAGAGTTGTGTGGAAGAAGACATAGCAGGTATAAACTAGGAGGAAAAAGAAAGAAAAAAAAAGCAATCTTTGTGACTTGTAAGGCTTTTGACAAATTTAAACTTCATGAGGGGATTGCTTTGTAACCTGAAGTGGTAAGTGGAAAGCAAAAATCCATTTACCTTGTTAGTAAATACTTTATTTGTTATTTAATTTTCTCACCTGGTATTCTTGCATCACAGACTGTTTCTGTCTTAATTGTGAACATAACTTAGAGCTGCTGCTCCTGTTTTAGAGTTTTATGGTTGTTACCATAGTGCACAGAGAAAGCCAGGTATTCATTTAATTTCCATTTGCTGGCGGAATATGCCAATCTTCATTGTTTTGATAGTTTGTAGTTATAGGATACTATAATGATGGACATAAATTGCTTGAACAGGATCAGTGCCATATGCCATGATGTGGAGGCTGATATCAAAGAGGAATTACTTTCTTTACTGCTGGGTTTGAAAATAGTAACATTTTGTTTATCAGTGTTAGATTGTACAGACTGTTTGCCTTTACATACACCAGTGAATGTTCTGTTTTCATTTTTAGTGGAACATTTTGATTGAATTTCAGATCATACAAGAGTCATCTTTTTTTCTTTAATTGGCTATTACCAATACCATAGTGTGCAATGAAAATACCTTTCTTTTTTGTCCAACTTAATCTCATTGTCATTGTACTTGAAAACCTTCCAAGTATTTAAAAATAGACAGCTAGCATTAATCCTTGCAGCTTCTTGGAAAAATAGCTGGCAGATTTATTTTGTTCTAGGTACAGCATTATCCCAAAACCAGTGGCAGAAATGTTGGCAATATTTGGCTGCATTCCTATTTGGTCCATTTTAATGCAAATAATGTAAATTTTTCTGAGTTCAGAATTGAACTATTTCTATTTATTTCCTGATCTTCCTTCATTATCCTGGACTAACCTCTTTTTTTTTTTTTACTAGTTCTAGTCGTAGCAGCTTAAAAAAAAAGAAATGAAGTGAGGCAGTGTAGCTGTTTAAATAAGTGTAGTAGTAGGGTCTTTTACAGAAGAATGCAGGAAAAATGCCAAAGCATCATACCTGTATAGCTCGGCTTTTGATGTATACAGTTATTTCTTGGCATGTGCATGAAAATGTTGGTTTGGTTTGGTTTGGGTTTATGTTTGTTATCTTTTCAAAAAGAAAGTTATATTTTGAAGCTGTAAAATGGCCTCACTGTTTGACTGACTGATTGAACTGCTCAGAGTAATTTCACTTAAAGCTATTATTGTCCTTGAAAGGTATGATACACTGCTAGCAAGGTGCTGCTGCTATCTGTTTGAAAAGGCATAGATCCCTAGCCCCTATTCGGTACTGTTCTGTGAGTTAGCAGGAGGGAGAGTTTGAAGTCACTGTCCATCCCTGTCTGATGTTAAGGGTTGCTAACTTAATATCCTCTACCCTGTAAACAAATGATGACCATACCTTACAGTGGTGTACTAACTAGATAGAATATTTGTCTGTCTAAAACCCAGACAAAATTTAACTCTATATATGTGTGTATTTCAGTAGGTCACAGGGAAGATGTAGGAACAAAGACAATATGACTAAGAAGTCTTTTATTTATATTTTGGAATTTTTTAACAGCACCCAGTGTAATGTGTGCCTGGGAGAACAGTGCATTATAAGGGTAATCTTGTTTCTCAGATAAAAATATTTAAAAGTGAAATTAAAACCTCTAAGATGGTATTTGTACATTTGTTCATTTTGCCATATGAATGTAACTGATACTTTAAATCACTATGTGGCTGCTATAATGTCTTATTGTTTTATAATGCATTGCTAATTTACTTGTTGGGTCTGTGTGCTCATTAGGCTAAGGCATTTATTTCTTTGAATCATCTCATCAAAGTATGACATAGCTACTTTTATTTAGTTCATTAGCACTGAGCCTACTAGAAGAATGAATGATGTTATGCAGATTATACAGCAGAGCATCAATCATGTGGTTTAGGCTGAGGCTAGCCACTCGGTGATAGTGTACCAAATTTGATTTCTGTCAAATTAGAGGTCATCTGTCCCAGTATTATTTCAGAAGGGCTTGGAAAGTATTGCTCTTCATATTACATCTTAACTACATATTTAATATAGGTCTGAACCCTAACTGAATCCTTACCCAGGACTAGCTGAGGCCTTGAAGAGCTGGTATGATCAGTGCTTGTTAGAGTGAGCTGGTTTACTTGTACTGTACAAGTTGGAGGGAATGCAATGCACAGATCAAGAACAATTAAAGGAAGAGATGTCTCAGACATTGGCTCTACTTTGGCAGAGCAGAGGAGCAAAATCAGGGAAGGTGACACAGTTCAATAGCTGCAATGTATATTGAGCAGTCAGCACTATAGCAACAGATCACTGTGTTCACAGTGCCAAAGCCAGTGCATGGAACCTATACCTGGGTATGAACATGCCTTCCAAAAGGCACTGCTTGTTGGTTGATCCCTGGGATAGCTGGTGGAGAGTAGGAGTTAAGACCTGGAAGCTGCTGCCATTCTCAGATAGCGTCTGCTCATGACTCCTGACCACATGCAACCTTTGTGGTAGGCTCTATGCTAAATGCTGAATCTGTGTGTGCCACAGGCCGCAGACCTTTGTTCTAGAGAATACCAGACATGCAGAATTAGAAGGAAGTGCTAACTTGGCTCTTTTTAACTCAATTCAGTGTAGAGAAAACTTTAGACAGTATGAGTTATCATTTGTTGTTGTTGTAAAAGATGACTTTTCATGGAGTTTATGAAGAAAGCATGAGTATTTGATATTTTTGCACTGGAAAATTTTTCTTTGTCTGAAGTACTTAAGGTTGAGAACAGAGTTTAGTATTTTACAGCATTTTACAGCAGAAAGCCTTTCTGTAAGATTTCACACGCCTTAGGCTGGGATAGAAACATTGCAATAACCATATTACCCATGCTATTTTGAAAAAAAAAAAAAACACAAAAGAAACCCCCCACAACAACAACAACAACAAAAAAAAAACCC